CTTTGGCCGGACGGTATGATTGAACCTAATTTTTTTGGAAGCAACAACGGCGGGACTGGCACTGTCAGTTTGGCGCATTATAGTCGTAAGATAACTGACTTTGTTTGACCTGAAATTGAACAACACGACTTGGACAATATGTGGATTCAACAACACAGCGCCACATGCCACTCAACACGAGCGAATATGGATTTATTACGAGAGAAGCTTCCCCGTTGCTTAATAACTGATCTTGGCGATGTCGATTGACCACCGAGATCGTGAGATTAGACAGTATTGGACATTTTTTTCTGTGGGTCTACGCATATAAACCTTTAACTCTTGAGCACTTAAAACGCATATTGCTCATGATATCGCTGAGATACCGTCCATTATGAGGCAGAGAGTGCTCGAAAATTAACTCAAATGGTTCGAAGTTTGCAACAATTCGCGTAGCAATCAATACACCATGTTTCTCATGCAATATATAATGTTTAAGTTCATATTTTATGACAAAAAAGGAATTTCAGGGAAAAAAATTATTTGAAATGAATTTTATTTATGTTTATTTTCGAAACCGCAAAATGGTTAACCCTGTGAATGGTTGCACAAGCACATTTAGATAAAAAAAAATATATATGCTTACATACACAAACACACATACACATACACATACAAATATATATACATATATGCACATCATACAATACTTCACATAAAGGGTAGTTGCTCGTTTTTAGCGCGCAAAGCAAAAATAAAAAAATTGTAAAAAAGCCAAAAAAAAATACACAGAAAACATACGATTGTCATGCTGCTAATAGCATTAGCGCCACCACATCAACCACCGCCAAAGTCATTTTCAAAGCTATGTTTCAAATACAACTACTTCACAGGCTATTTTTTTGAATTCTTTTTGTAATTTGATTTTATTCTTTGCTTTTTTTTAACTATTTCCTTTTGTGTTTAGTTTGTATTGAAACCACAATTTAATGTGAATATTATTTAAGAAATATATACGAGTATATTACACGCCCACTCGTTTAACAACCAACTAAAATTCTTAAATTCTTCTTCTTCACGCCTACTCCCCGCCACTCACCACTTGCCCGTACTTGGTGGCGCATTCACAATGACTGTCATTGTAATTTTAATTCAATTAATGGCTTGACGTTTGACGCTTACGATATATACAATTACATGTCAAATTAACGCAACACTCACGGGTCTGAACTGTGGCATAAAGAAATATTACTATAAATTAAAATGTGGTTTTTATGGTGATTTCTTTTTTTATTTTTTTTTATTTTTTTTTTTGTATTATTACTATTTATTCCCTAGTGCAAACAATTAGTAGTGTAAATAGGTGAATGTGTCAAATGAAAATATGTAGATAAATAAATTGCAACAATACTAATGGGAAATCAGTTTAGGGGGAAGCTCCTTGGAAATAAATTGAAAAAAAATTTAATGTTGGGGCACCCAATTCTCGCAGCTATGAAATAACTTAAGAAACCTATTTTGAGATACAGTACTACTTTTAGGTTAAAAACGACAAATCCTTGGAAAACACTATGAAAAGAGGATCGACAGACACTATCTCTCCCTCGATTTTAAAACAAACTTTGACAGCTCGAAAAGGAGCTGCCCCTACGCCGCTATGCCTGAATTTGGAAACCCCGCAAAACTTATACTTCAGTGCAAAATAAAGTTAAGTAACATTAAAAGCTCCAACCGTATCGGGAAGTACCTCTCCGTGCCTTTGGATAACAAACGAGGTTTCAGACAAGGGAATCGTGTGATTTCTACAATTTAATGCTGGAGAAAGTAATACGTGCTGCAGTGCTGAAAAGGGAAGGTACAATCTTCTATAAGAGTATACAACTGCTGGCAAATGCCATTGATAAAGTGCAGCATATGGGTCTGATGGTGTACAATGGTAATACGAAATATCTGCTGTCATTGTCAAAACTGTCATCACTCTCACGACTAGGCTCCCAGGCTACTGCGGACAGTCATAACTTTGATGTCGCAGATATTTCGTTTATCTTGCAACCAGCATTAACACTAACAACAATGTCAGCCTTGCAGTGCAACGCAAAATCACTCATGTCATTATGTGCTACCATGGACTTCGTGGACAATTGAAAAGTAAAGTCCTCTTTCGACGAACAAAATACCAAACTATACAAGTCGCTCATCATTCCCGTTCTGCTACATAGTGCGGAGGCATAGACATCTAATGAGCCGTTAGAAGTTTGAAGTTTTTGAAAGAAGGATTTATGGCACTTTGCGGCGTTGGCAACGGCAAATACCGCAGCCGATGGAGCGATGAGCTGTACGAGGTACACAGCGCCATTAATATAATTAATCGAAACAGGAAACATAGATCAATGCTGACGGGGTCATGTGGTCGAGAAGGGTAAGAATTTGAAAGTTCTCGATGCAGTATCCGCCGGTTGAAGCAGTGAAAGAGGTAGATCTTCACTCCTTTAGAAGCAGTTACAATTGAGACAGACGGATTGAATACAGGTCTAAAGCCTGCATAAAGAGCTTTGCTTATATTTACTAATTGCCTCTAAAATGAATGACGAAGCGATGGCTTTAGTTTACTGCACCAACTCGTAGCGTGGGCTTGCATAGCCGTCAGATATATTGGTGTACTGGCAGCTCGTTACTGTGCTGTCGATGACAACTTTAGAATCGAAGAAACGGTGTTTCTTGTCTCACTGGTCCACCACATGATGTGACGCATTGTAAATATCTCGTGGGGTTCCATGCTCACTGTCTGCAGATGCTCACACCATACAGCATGTATGCTCTGGGCAAGGGTCACTAGTTTAACACCTTGGTTTCTAAAAGGGTTTGCTAGGTTTCAAAATCTTTGTGGGTCTCCGTATGTGTTCATGGAATTTTCACGCAGGACCCTTTTCGGCCAACTACACAAGCTCTTAAAAATCACGCATTTCGGCGACGGCATGAAACTAAGTAAGTAAGAGAGCTTTTTCAGTCGTTCCTTATTAGATCGGACTCATATTTTCAAGAAGAAATTTAAGCAACACCTCTTGACTTTATCTATAAAAAAGCAAAATACTTCAATGCATACATTTTCATGTGACCCCAAGATGAAACCTATACTTTTGACCTGACTTGGTCTGACTTTTGTAGATCAGAGAACTTATCACGGTATCGGGTCAACTTGAAATTCAACTAATGGATTTTAAAGTCTGCCTCTACTTAGCCCAAGGGAGACGCAAAGTAAATGATATGCGATTTCTTTAACCCCATCATCCTACAGTTTCTATAATATCTCCTGAAAACGATTCCCAACCTTTCCTCGGTCCGTTTCTATAATTTTAGAAACATCTTCACTACTTAGAGTTGTTAATATGTTTTCTTGATCAGATTTGTGAAAAGCCGGCTCGAGCTAAATACCACCTAAATGGACCTGTGTGTGTACATTTCTAGTAACAAAAACTCTATATCGTGTAGTAGAAGTTTTTAACAGTAACTAACCTTCAAACACTGGGCACTGTGTCAGTTGGAAAGGAAAGGTGTAACTATCAAGACATTTTTGAGTATCCAAGGAGTTAATTACACGATTGAGTTCAGCTTGAAGATCTGTTTTTCAATTTTTTAGTGATTCCGCTCGATATGCGGGCGGTTCAAATGAAAGACTGTCGAGAAGTTTTTAGCAGTTCCGATTGGCGTAATGCTAAGTGTCACATTAATATATGTATGATATAAGAATTTAAACATTTTCAATAGTTTTTAATAAAAATAAAATAAAAATAAATCTATAGAGTGCTCTTTGGCCCGCGTAGAAACTCGGTATGAAACAATGAACTCTCCCGAAAGCCTTCGCTGAACTAAAGTTCGGTTTCCTTTTTAGCACACTGCAACATTGTGTAATAATTTTTTGATTTTTTCTTTTAATTACAACCGCGTAACGCGTTCAAATTGTTAGAACTTTCAACAGAAATGGTGATTCAAAGGTTGCAACTTTTCGTACTGGACATAAGCGCTCAACTATTCAAGCTTTTACTAAAATGTAAATAATATATATTTAAATATTTGTAAGATCTTTGCATCATCCTTTTGCGCGTTACACCTCAAATATTACTGCCATAGGTGAAAGTGTAGCAGAAGATCCGAATGTGTCTATTTCTCTACATTCTCAAGAGGTAGGATTTTCTTACGGCACATTACGGCATATTTTTCCCTTGTACGTACATCTATCCAAGTCCATATAAAGTCAACTCATACAACAACTGAAACCAGCTGACCATTCAAAACGGCGTTCATACGTCGACAACGAGTTTTCGAATAAAATTTTCTTCAGTGACAAAGCACATTTCTCACTCCGTGTATCCTCAAATAACTGACTTTTTTTCTTCTGCGCTATTTGGTCTGAAGGTATGATTAGACCTTACTACTTTGAAAACGACAACTGCGAGACTATGACCGTTAATTTGGAACGTTTTTATCATATAATAACCAACTTTTTTTGGATGTGCAATTAAAGAACACAACTCGAATAGTTGGTGGTTTCAAGAAGATGGCGCCACATACCACACGACACAAGCAAATGTGGCTTTATTACGAGAGAGAGAGCTTCCCGGCCACCGAGCTGTTGCGATTTGACACCGTTAGATTAAGATACCGCTCAAAAAGTGGTCTAAAAATTCTTTAAAGCGCATCGAAGTTTGCAAAAATTCGCGTGGAAGTCTTTGAACTATTTGATGTCTCGCATAAAATATAATGCTTAAGTACAAACTTTATAATAACAAAGGAGCTTCATAAAAAAAAAGTTATTTTAAATTTCAAATTATTTTTTATTTATATATGTATATGTAAACTACTTCTGTACAATTTTATTAATATATTTTTCTTTTGTATTTGACGTGATATAATTATAGGCAAATCATTTCCAGATTCCATTGACTATGTAAATTATCAGAGTGGACCTGTTAGAATGAAGATACCGTAAGGCATTGAAATCGGTTCAAATTTGGAAATCTTACTTTTTTGTTGTCGTTGCTACAAATTTCCAATAAAGTTTGTTTTCCTTTTGTTTTATTAAAGTTTCACGTTGAACACACTTCACTACACTAGATTATTTATTTTAATATATTAAATTTAATTAATTTTGTTTTTTACGCTATTTTCGGTTTATATATTTTTTATTAATATTTTAATTCTTATACATATAAATATTTCAAATTTATTAATTTTATATTTAAAAAATTTGGAATAATATTTCATTTATATTAGTACTCATTTCATTTAAAAAAAATATATATATTTATTTTCTGCTCATTTACTTCACTTTTTTTATTTACAATTCTTAGTTGAAACAAAATTTCACTTGAACACACTCTCTTTGCTGATATCGTAATTTTTACATTATAATTATTTGTATTTTGTTTTATTTTTATTTTTTATTTTTATATTTTTTTTCTTCTGGATGTCTTTTTTCTAACACACTCAGCTATTAAAATAAATATACGCGCACCGCGCTCGAAAGAAACGCAACCGTTATATTCGCCAGTCAACTCTTAACTAAATTTGAATTGGCTAAGAACTGTGACTACGTTCTAATGCATCCAACAGCGAGACACTACGTTTTCCAACGGAATAACTTTGTGTTGACACCGTCGGATGGCATATGGCTTTTAACTCTTTGATTTCAATGCTACCTACTACTATTCCTTGAAATGCCTGTGGTGAATATGTGCAAATTTCTGTGCAATGTGGCAACCCGTATCTCTTCTATTGCCCACGTAAATGCGCTCTCTTAATGTTTTGCGCAGAATCGCCTTTTGTCATATTCCTTGCATTTCGTTGACAAAAATCAGATGTGAATGTTTTGTTGATTTGTTGTTATTGTACGGTGGTTACACCGCGCAACATTGTAAAATATTAAAAAAATTCTGTTTTTTAAGATTTTCAATGAGGCAATGCTCGTTCCAGAGTTGGTCCTTTTGAGCGCTTTTACCTAATTTACACTCAGTTTTCGTTCGCCATTTCATAACGAACAGCTTCCCCCAATATTCGATCGACATAGTCGCCCGGCAGCACCGCTAATTCTATCGACCGTGGGGCGACCTCACACCTGGTATGCTTAAGTGGAAAGTGCACATCATACCTGACGTCGCATGGTTCGCACCGAAGATGATATTGCTGCTGTGGGCAGAGCTTTAAAACCACAGTTCGTGCCGAGCGAGTGCGTTGTATGTTCGGTTAGTGAGCCCAAAACGAGACATTCCGAGGTCATGATTCCCACAAGAACATTTTGTTCACTTTCGGTTGAATGGGTCCGTTAATTACCCACAAGCCATTGGTAAGATGCTATTGCATCCCCAAGAAGTCACTGTTTGGTATGCTCTATTGCGTATATATCTTCAAAAATGGACCCGGTCATAATATTATAGTCAATTGAGAACACTATAGGGCCATGAGTAATGACTTTTACTATCTGAATTGGAGGCTGCTGATATGGACTACCCTTGGTTCCAGCAAGACGCCGCTATATATTAAACAGCCAATGAAATAATTAATTTGTGGAAGGAAACTTTTGGGGAGCGCGTAATCCTACATGTGGACGTGTGTCGGAGCCTCGTTTTAATACCACTGGACAACTTTTGTGCGGTTATGTGAGGTCTCTTGTCTATGCAGATAAGCCCGAGACGATTGACGCCCAACGTGGCCAACGTACGTATATGTATATCCAAGATGCAAGGAGCCGCCGGTTCATCTAGTGCCCATCTAAAATTGGAAATCGTCACAAACTAATTTAGCTATCATACTTCATAAGATGCTCTCTAAGCCATTTCATCAGTTTAACTATAATACTTGACATCGGGATGGGGAATTCAATTTAAAATCCCACTCTCTTCCTCAAAATAATTCGAACAATTTTTTTTTTCTTTATCCATAGAGAAGTCTCATTAGGCAAGGAGCGCTGGTAACGAAACTATTGATGCCATTCTATAGTTCCCTGCGACTGCGGAGAGTCTGACTAGATGGAGGTTTTCGGACTATGCTATTTATAAGATCATCTATTAAAATAAATAGCTAAACGATGAAACGTATCGCTATTCATCGCAATAACCGTCGCAAACTCGCAAACTAGTCTTAGTACAGACGGAAATCCTTAGACAAATTAACCTCCTTGCGAACGTTGGCTCCATCCCCTATCCATAATGGAATTTTTCGTAAATACTTTTCAACTTAAAATCAATTTGCTATAACCATGAATGTTAAATACTTTCACTTATAATTTTGTTTTTGCATGCAGGGTCGTGGCAGTTATCAAGGACTTGCATAAATTACCGTTATTATTATTTTTTTTTACATTATGCCACGCTATATACCAATTCATAAATATTCGGCACCAAACCTTGGTAACAGGCTCTGAAACACATTTGCATTCAAATAGCTAAACTCGGATGAGCAGGCGAAGTAGCAGCAGTGGATTCACCTGGCACTTACAAGCAAGTTTGTAGTGAACAGTCAACATTTACAGTTATGCAAAAATAAATAATTCATTATCGATTGGCAGTGTTATTATGCAGTGGTGATCCAATAATAATACAACAAATAACAACAATAACTTGTATTAGTACACAAATGGAATTTAGTTGAATTGGAAGAGTGCAATGCCAGATTTATATTTTTCAATTTTGTGTTTATATGGCATATATATTACTTACGTATACACATAAAAAACACTAAACAAAAACAAAAGAAATATTATTTTATTTATGTAATTTTCTTTTTTTCATTATTTTATTTTAATTTATTTTATTTAATTTTATTTTATTGTACTTTATTTTATTTTATTTTACTTTATTATATTTAATTTATTTTTTTTTATTTTATTTTATTTTATTTTATTTTATTTTTTTATTTTATTTTATTTTATTTTTATTTTATTTTATTTTATTTTATTTTATTTTATTTTATTTTATTTTATTTTATTTTTATTTTATTTTATTTTATTTTTTTTATTTTATTTTATTTTATTTTATTTTATTTTATTTTATTTTATTTTATTTTATTTAATTTTATTTTATTTTATCTTATTTTATTTTATTTTATTTAATTTAATTTAATTTTATTTTATTTTATTTTATTTTATTTTAAAATTTTTTCATAGAACTTTTATATGTATATGTGCAAATCTCTTCTCGTACATATTATTATAGACTAGTGGTCAATCAATAGTTAGTTTTTTTCATTCTCTCATCTCTTTGTGTGTTGTCACAGTTGGCACGTGTTTCAATAGAGACCAATTTGTACTTATACATTTATATTACACATGTAAGTAAATGAAATTATGTATGTACAATACATTATTTGCTCACATAAAAATATTCCATTTGACTTCCGTGTCTTGACGCAAGGGCTTTTGCTCTATTGCATCCAACTCTCAGCTCACCACACGCATTACATTATAAGGAAGAAATTCACCACATTCCTCGGAATTTCAAACACATCAAGCATTTGTGCGCGTGTTAATAGCCGCCTTGTAAGTCCTTCAGTTTGCAATTTTTTACTTTCAATTTTTGCTTTCACGTAGATAAATGTGTCCGCGTTCAAGGTTTATGCGGCAGAAAGAAAAGGAAAACAACAACAACGGTAATACGAGTAGGTTTAAAAAAAATTACAGCTAAAAAAAAATTAAAATATAAAAAATGGCAGAAAGAAAAGATTTGAATGAAAAATCGATCAAAAAGAAATGAAAATTAAACTGAAAACACAGAAAAATATTTGCGTCGCTTTTCTTCATTTGGGTAGTCAGTCCCCCTCATGCAAGCCCCCTCTCTAAATGCACTTCTCGATTTCCCACTTAAGTTGATGGAAAAAATCCTGCGTCGCCTCAATACCACAAATTTGAATATATTCATTTTTCCTGTTTTATTTATTTGGCGGCTCGCCACTATTGTTCGCCCAACCATTCACCACATTCTTGCTCTCATTGGCGCTAGTGGTCTCCGTGTTTGCCGGCTGGGCTGAGCTGGGGTGTGTGGAATCGACCGTTTTGCACAATATCTGCTGACTTGAACGTTTGGTAATGTCAAGGTTCTTTGTGAAGCGTCTCCGCTCACTTTGTCGGTCATGATTAAAGCAGCAGAAGGCAGCAGAAATGTGATGATGATGCCTTGCATTTGAAATGTTGGCGCTGCAATGAGGGCTTTCTTAAATTACATAAACATTGGGTGTGTGAGTCAATATTAACGATGTTTTTTTTTTAATTTTTATTATTTTTATTTATTGTGGTCATTGGAAAATGCTTCAAAGTCATGACCTGTTGATAGGAAAATTTCTCCCGAACTTGAAAACTGAAAGCAGATTGAGTAAGGAGAAGTGAAAGTAAGAATTTTGGACCCACACAAGGTACTCGTTCTTAAGGAGCTTAGAAACTTCTCCATCAATTCAGTTCGATTTGCAATTAAGTCCTCGTCGCAACCCTTCTGAAAGGTATGGTATCCCAGACGTGTGTAGTCTTGTTGTTGGAAACACTTACATTGCAAAACGGTGAAACTACATTCATTCGAAGAGGGATGAAGAGATCAGCTCTATGAGATATACTCGTATACCAACATCTACCTAGACCTGCTGGAGAAAACAGGGGTAGAGAAATACCACCACTTTATTGGAAAGGTCATGTGTGGCGCTTGCCTCACTCGGTATCTCCAATTAGCTTCAGAAAGCAGACAGAATTTTTCCAGCACTCTTATATGTGCATACCAGTGTATTTGCTAATGCTCTTTATGTGTTTGGAAATTTTCAGAAATTGGTGCATTGAATGCGCTCCGTTGCATTTCATAACGAATTGAATTTGTGTAAACGAACGCTTGAGTGCAGCTATTAAACTCTGAGTGCAGTTAAAATCGCTTATGTGATTTCATTTAAGTGTGTATGTAGGTGTCTTTTGGTAGAGAAAATTTTCAAGGACATTCAGCATGAACATCTATCCTTGCCCACTGTTGGCAATGACAATGAGTCAGGCAACAGAAAATAAGAAAAAAAAGCAAAAAAATGTTGTGGAGACGTCAAGGAGAGAATTAGGTTTGGTGCAAACTTTAATTATACTTACAAGCATACTAGGACTAGTAAAAACTCATCCATTATTTTTGCATTATATTGAGAGATTTATT